ACCGATGGTCCAGCCGGTCCGAATCTTAAGTTGGATCGGTTATGCAGTCGACCCGTTTCAAACCGGATTGAACCGGTCAATTTTCCGGTTCAACCGTGAACCGGTGGGTCAAACCGGTTCAACCATTTTTTTTCTTTTTTTTAAAAATTTTTTTTAAGGGACCATAAACCACAAAAAATAATAATGAAAATTAAATCTCTTAATGGAAAAGTAAGGAGTCTTATTAAATATAACAATGACTACTTGTTCTAATATATTTGTTTGCAATATATACAACTTAAATAACTTTTATAGTATATTATTAATTTTAAATTATATATTTAATAATATAATATTTATGTAAATATTACATATATTATTTTGTGATATTAATTGCAAGCATATTATATATGTACATATTATTTATATTTTTAATTTGTATTAATATACCGTTTAACATGTAATTTTTTTATGTATTTTTTTACAAAATAAAAATAAAAATAATTTTAAATAAGATAGAAAAATTGAAATTTAAAATAAGATATGAATTTATTAAAATTTAAAGTATAAAATATATTTAATATGAATATTTTTTAATAAAAATAAATAAAAACCGAGTCATGTGGTTCAACTAATGACCCACCAGTTCAACCTTTGACCCACTAATCCAGTACCTTAACCGGTTCGATGACCGGTCCGGTTTTTAAAACTATGCTTGTAATTATACATGCATAATTAATTCTTCAACTATTATCTATTTTATTTCATAATACTGATGTCATGATGATAAAGAATTTTGTGAATCAAGGTACAACAGTGTAATTAATGGAGATAACCAGTCTTATTAACATATATCATAGGAGCAATTTGCCAAATTTCCATTCTTCAAGTCCATATATGGCTTTGATGAGTCCACACTCAACTCGCGTAACACAGTTATTAAGGTAAGGGCAATGCAACAACCAAGAAGATGAAGGTAAAAGTCAAGGTCAACCCCATTTGCCATAATGGGCCAGAGATTCAACGGTCCTGATTCACTTAAGAGAAAATTCAACTTTGATGTTGATGGTTGACACTTGTATAAGCAGCAATGGCCACCATAGCAGTGACTCACGCACTCATCGCCGGGAAAGACGATCCTCTACACGTGCACCTATGTTACATGTCGTGGTCAACCATGCATGATAGATCTAGTAAGGCCTAATAGCATTTTTCTTCAAATTTCTTTCAATTTTAATTACTAGTAGCCCATTATAGGGTTGTTTTGCGCCATTCATTCAAAACAAAAATGTGTATGATGTAGGATTTTTTTTCATTAATCTTACGTTATTTATTTATAATTTATAAAAATTATGGCGATAATAAGATTAGAATCTAAGATCTTGTATATATTATTTTAACTTTCGACGGACCTTTATTTATTTATTTATTTTTTAAAAAGAGAATCAAATTTTTTTATAATTAACATGTTTCTTGATAAAATATTCTCTCGAGTAAGGAAAATCTTGAATTTTCATAAAAGTGAGCAAAGTTTCATCTATACTCATCATATCATTTCAATTAATCTTTTAAGCATACTAAACACATTTATAATTTTTGTAAAAATGATATTTTAAAAAAGCACTATTTGTGAAAATATGATTCCCAAATTAAAAATAAAAAAATGACATATATATAATCACATGCTCCTAAATATAACATTAAAAGAATTTGGTAATTAAAGTATAGGTAAAAAAAGCTAGATTACATTTTAATTTTTTTTGTGACCAAATTGATTTTGAATTGAAGTAAAGATGCGTATAATTTTTATTTATTAAAAATAATTTGATAAAAAAGTATTGACAGTATAATTTTTTCCCCTTATTGTCATCCAATCACAAATATTATATAATGTCAAGTTTGTTAAGTTTTATAATGATTATTTAAAATTTATAAGTAGAATAATTTTTTAATCAGTTGATAATATAATTTTTCTTTTGCACCAATTGTGCATGAAAATTAAATTGTAACAAAAATATTTTCTTAATTACTTAAAACTCAAAAGGTGTTTGGGAGAAAAATATAGTATAATTTTTTTGTACAAAATTGTTAATATTTACACAAAAATTAATGATGAAAAGGCGAAAGAAAATTTTTCAAAATTTTTGTATTTTTCATATTTGGAGAAGAATAATTGATGTTTTTGTAATGAATATACTACTATATATTATCTAATATTTTTTTATTTGTGCATAATTAAATCACCATCCAATCATTTTTTACTCATATCGTTAAAATTAAGTAGAATGAAAAAGCTTTGTAAAGACTTGAGTATATTACTTGACTCTTTATTTATTTTAGTTAAAGGAGAGATTCACTAACTAAAATAATAAGTTTTGATAAACGTATTCTCCTTAATAATTTATGTTCCATATCAAATATTAATAATCTAATTGTTAAATTAATTTTTTTTAATGTATAGATTAAGTGTAAAAATTAAAAAAAAATAAAAACTATATAATACTTCATTATATAGATTTAAATCAATGTATAGAAGTTTTAATGAGTATCCCTCAATTTAAATTAATAAAACAAAGAATAAAATAATATTAAGTTTTTAAAAAAATGTATAAACTTAATTTATATATTAAGAACTTTTAATTTAATGTTATAATTGTTAAAATTTGATGTAAAATATGTATTAAGTGGAAATAAATCTCCAATAATTACTTTTAAACTAAGTGGAACTTTCTTCATATGTAATCAATATTTTTTTATTATTTTTTTTATAACTCGATGGGGCCATGTGTTCTTAGAATTATGGTTTGGGGGTAGGATACGGCTTTCCCAAAGTTCTTGAAATCTTTAATGATTTGTTTACATTACTAAAGAAAAATAAAAGAAAGAAAGTGGGAGAAAATAAGAAGAGGATATAAGTAAAAAAAAATGTTTAATTGTTTGGTAAGTAGAAAAGAATGAAGAAAAAGAAATAAATAAATTGATAAAATGACACAAATACCCTTAAATATAAATATAAATAAAAATATAATATATTAATTAAAGTATTGCAAAGGTGAAAAATGATAAATTAAGACCTTTTCGATATTGTTATGTCATGACTAATTTCATTAATCTTATTATTTATTTGGCTACTAATAAATGTTATTTTCTAGCTCTGCCTGTCGTGCTATAAGTACTACAAGTTCTATTTGATGAGTTTCAGTATTATTAGGCGTAACATAAAATGATAAATTATCTTTTAATAATCGATTAATCCCTAATCAGTATTTTGAGGGAATTGATTAATTACATGTAGATAGATACAGTAACTTGTAAGTAAAGATTAAGGAGATAACTTGATGAGTAAGAGATGAAATTTATTTTGTGAGTCTGATATTCAATTGTACAACCTTTAATAGAGCACGCAAGTGTGATTTTCATGCTATTAAGAAGAATACGCAATTCAATTCCAACACTACTAAGAAGCTCCATTATTTGTAAAAATTCAAATCTGACATGAACCAGAGATTAGACAATTAAATAGTATATAAGTGAAAAATAACCTTTACCTTATAAATCAGTTTTGTAGTATATTAATATTGAGTTAGACTCAAATTTACTATTTTAAGATCCATTAGACTCAAATTTACTATTTTAAGATCCATAAAAGTTTCTAACATGCTTGACAAACCCAAGTTATGCATCATGACAATCAAGGTTGTCAAACTCGAGAGTCTACACAAACTCGTGGAGCTCTGGTAGACTCGACTCGTAGACTCGACTCGTAGACTCGACTCGTAGACTCGACTCGTAGACTCGTAAGAGTCTACATAATATTAAAATATATTAAAAAACATGAACACACACAATATGATATCACTATTTCAACATTCTAAGTCTGAAATAAGTCAAATAACAACAATAAAATGTCATAATACAAATCTTAACCATACATAAACAACCAAAAGTCGAAAACCATTTTTCCTTCACCTTTTTGCCATTGCCTAGAACATCTGTCCCATGCTTCCAACCCATGTCAGTCCTATTTCCAGGGGCATTTCTCCTTGCTCTGGAAGAAGAAACTGCATTGCTTGAAGACTTTGAGCCACCACCGGTTTCAGACATCTTGCAATTATAGGAGTGAGAACTGAGAAGTAACACTCACGAATTCACGATGATGCTGGAAGCTGCAATGAGGCGTTCGTATGCGGCAAAAGCTGCAATGAGGCGTTCGTATACGGCGGTGTTCGATTGCGGCACCGTTCGCAGCGGCGGAGACGTGCGCTCGTAGCGGCAGAGACATGCGTTCGCAGCGGCGGAGACGTGTGTTCGCAGCGGCGGAGATGCGCGTTCGTTGAGGCGGAGCTGTGCGTTCGTTGAGGCGGAGATGCGCGTTCGTTGAGGCGGAGCTGCGCGTTCGTTGAGGCGGAGCTGCGCGTTCGTTGAGGCGGAGATGGGTGTTCCAATGGTGCGGAGGTAGACTAAAAAACGTGAGAATGATGGAGGAAGCTCGCGCGCAGGGAAACTGGTGTTCTTACTAACTAACCCTAGGCAAAAACGACGTCGTTTTGGGCCATTTAGGGGTCAAAAAAAAATGTAACCAGACTCGTGGACTCGGGCTCAGACTCGCGATTATGACCGAGTCTACCCGAGTCTATCCGAGTCTACCCGAGTCTACCCAAAAACGATTCTACAAGCGAGTTAACCAGTTTTGCTCCTCTAGAATCGTAAACTCGTCCGAGTCTACGAGTTGACTCGCGAGTTTGACAACCATGATGACAATGATTATTTCTATCAGTGATATCTCAAGTATAGTATTTGGCTTGCCCCATATTTCAGTATAAATAAAAAGATAGTGATAATTACTTTATTGCATCAGCACTTTTTTGTCCTTCAATTATTTATGAACTTTGAAGCTTTCTTAAAACATCAGCAAAACCGGTTAACTTGTTTTATTATTATATTTACAGTAATTAAATAAATAGCAGGATCGATCATGCTTGTACACCAATTATGCTCAACCCGAGAATTTAGATCATGAATCTCTCTCCCATTCAACCTTGCAATTACAAGCAACAAGTTTTCGTCCCCTAAGATCATGCAGTATTTCACGACGAAACACACTTTAAATTGCACACAAATTCCCTCATTAATCATCACACCCTCTAGCTATACCAACTATATTGATCATCACTATGGCCAACAACACAATCCTTAAACTCACAACAATTCTCATTCTTCTCATCATGCATAATTCCCTCTTTGTTTCTTCAAGTGACATAGACCAAGATCATGATGACATAAACGAAGAGGAAGAGGAAGAGTATGTTCTTGACACCCCATTGCCCCATCTAGGGCCAAGAAGCAGGTTCTTGGCAAGCATAATAAAGAAAGGGAGACAGTGTGATCGTGAGACCAATAACATATGCAATGGTGTTAGGGCAAACAAGGGGAGAGACCTGCTTTTCTGCTGCAAGAAGCATTGTCGCAATGTGCTTAGTGACAAGAACAATTGCAGGGTGTGTGGCAACAAGTGCAAGCAAGGGGAAAGATGTTGCAATGGGGTTTGTACCAATGTTTTGTCTAATGTTCGTCACTGTGGCAAGTGCAACAAGAAGTGTTCACCCGGAGATTCGTGTGGGAATGGAGTTTGTGGGTATGCATGAAAGGAAAAATAAAAAGTTATTGAAAAAGGTTAGGGTCTTGTGATCCATATATTAATTATGTAATAGTTTGATTTGAGATATGAAAAGATTTCCCATTTTAGTTTCATTCTTAGGCTTTTAATAAAGGGGCAAAGGGAAAGAAGGATTGGAATGAGTTGAATTTTTATGTGGTCTCAAATTTAAGTGTACACATTTGAATTTTGTTAAGTAATTTTGATTGAATATACTCTAGTTAAAAGAATTTTTTTAAGTTTTCCTATTAAAAAAAAAATCTTTTCCAATAAAGAAGTTATTAATTTTAAAAAAAAAAATTGTATCTAAATACGCTCTTAATTTTATTTGTTTTAGTTTGTCTTGATTCTTGATAATTGTTATATATTATCGTGGATGTACTCTTCAAATTAATAATAGGTGGATGAATTTAATTGATGAATGAATTTTATACGATTACATATGTTAATGAAGATATAAACTATCATGAAGATGAATTCTGGATTAGATGTCTCATGTTTATTATCATTCAAATTAAAATTCATTTCCAAAAAAAGGAGAAAAATATAATTTAACTTAATTTAAATAATTAAGATAATTTAGATTGGTTCAAATGATTGGATAAAAAAATAAATACTAAAAATACTTTTTTAACACTTTTTTTTAATATTATTTATTATTGACTGAAATTTATTAAAAAGCACAAAAGATATTATCATTAAATTAGGAGTAATATTCATTATACAATATGTATCAAAATTTATAATTTTAATATATTTCAGCAAAAAATATAGAAAAATATTATAATGAGGGTATTAGAGAGAATATAGCTGACATTTCTATATTCTCAAACTCAAAGGATCCAAATCAATACTTAATTTTCCCTTTTATCTTTTTTTATTTTTATTTATTTATTTACGTTAACATATTTTTATATTACGAATATATAATTTCATTCATTTCAAATGTTATTTTGATTTTTTTATATACAAGTATTTTTTAAAATTAAAATAAATAAATAATGATATTGTTGCTCTATTTATTACATATCATTTTTTTTACTACAATTAATGGTGATACCAAGATTAAAGTTTCATCTAAAACTTAGTACAAATTATCTCAATTGCCAATTAATTTTAATGATAAATTATTTATTGTGTATCATAAAGTTAATATTTTTTTTTTGTTTGTTTGAACATATCTTCCAAATAAATACTAAAACAAGTTTTATTTCTCTCAAATAAAGCTTTATCTATACACATGGTCAACAAATTATTAAAAGAACTAAATATTATTAAAAGAGTAGTGCTTCGCATATTATTATTTTAAGTTTAATATAAATAAGAAAAATGTTAGTAACACATTAAAAATTTATTCAAAAAATATAAAATCATAAATAGTTGAAGATAATTATTTAAGTTTAATTTATATATTATTTATACAAAAGAGATGATTTATGCATAAAACGAAACTCAACATAGAGAACCCAGAAGAGAGTAAATAACAGAGGCCCAAAGTGGCCCAATTTTCCGCAGAAGCATTACAGAATTAGAAAATTCCTGAAACCATAATAGATAGATACACAATAATAACACATTAATTTCATTTACAGTATTATTATTGTAATTGAATCCATTTTTCATTACTCAAAACCCTAAACCCCGAAGCTTTTTCCCGAGTGGTTAGGGTTTTTCTTTGTGCTGTCGCATTGCAATCAATCGTACGCGCGAGCGAACTCAGAACTGCGATCTCCATCTTCATCGTCTCCGGGTAAGTGCATTGCAATTCTTCGCATTTCCATGTTTTCGATTCAGCTTCTTCGTTTCACATCGATCCGTTTCTGTAGCTCTGCCATGCTCGCCCTTTCGAGAGGCCTCGTTTCTCGTCTGCAACGTGTCGCCGTCGATTCGCCCTCGCCGCTCCGGTTTTTGAGTTCCGATGCAGCGATTCAGAGTCGGGTTATTGATCCGAGACCCGGTGTGATGACCCCTAATTCCAAGCGAACTGGGCTCATAGCTGTCAAGTGTGGAATGAGTGCGCTTTGGGATAAATGGGGCGCCAGAATTCCAATCACCGTGCTTTGGGTCGATGATAACATTGTGTCTCAGGTTAAGACCCCTGAGAAAGAAGGTTTTTGTGCTCTCCAGGTACCTCTCTTCTCTTCTAGTTACCCTTTCTTAAACCCTATGTTTGTCTTTCTCCTTTATAAATTATACCCCCGAGAAACTAGTGTCAGGTTAAGCTCACAGTTCAAGCAGCAGATCAGTAGTCTCCAAAGTTGAAAGTGAAGTATTTTTTTCATAAATTATGGAGAAATTAGACGGGTTAACGTTAGAGAGAAACCTAAAGTATTTTTCATAACAATTATTTAAGAAGTTTAAATGTGATAATATATAATTAAGTTAAAGTTGGAGGAGAGTTTTGCTGGCCTATAGTGTTCTACTCGCTTGACTAGGATTGCCTCTAATAGAAGATACTTCAGGTCTTTACCCCATCCTCTCCCCCCAAAAAAAAAAATTAAAGTGAAATTTTCCCTGCGAACACTAAATCAAAGTTAAGTCTATTAATCAATCACATAAAATATATATCTACTAGCTTTATAAGAAGATGAATTTGCATCAATTAGCTTTTCTTTTTTTTTCTTTTTTTTATATGGGAGATTGGTGTTTGCCAATGCGTTAAGCAGTGGGATTGGATATTTGTCACTTCATTTCATTCATACATTTATGTAAACTATTTGAACCGGGTTCTTCTTATGCAAACTAAATTATTATAATTTATAAATTGAAATTATTATAAAATGAATTTCTAGCAGATACTATACTATTTCTGTAATCTTTGCTACTCCAAAAATTTGTCGAGAAGAGGGAAATTTAAAAGCAATATTAGAGAAAATAATTAGCAGAATTATGGAATAGATGTCTTTTAGAGCCCATCTTGAAGAATACTATGTTAATGTAGACTGTATAGTCTATTTTTAGCAGAATATACTCATATCATTTCAACTGTGAGGGAATCAACCAAAACTAGTGAGCCAGTCTTAGGCGAAGCAGGGTACTCCCATTAAATGATAATACAGCTTTTATTTAAGATTGCTCTAAGTAGAACGTTAAAACAGGGAACATATACTTATAACTTATCATCTTGTTCCATCTAGTGCATTTTGTCTTAGTTATAACTTATAAGTTATAACACTTGATGGCTATAAGGAAAGCCACTTCATAGTTCATACACTTTATCCCTGCTCCATCCCTGATTTCTGTTTGAATGTGTAATTTGATCAGTTTGTTTGAGCTCGGTTGCGACTTATAGCCAAATAATCAAATTGGATTAAAAATTGGTTAGGAGTACTGAACTGGTTTAAGAAAACAGGTTTGGGTTATTAAACTGTTAAAACAGTTAGGATAGTTTGTGGTATGGACCGTATGGTTCAATTTAGCTATTGCTTGGTTCTTATATCGGTATAGTATTTTAAGTGTATGTGTATCTACTTATAGATTTCTTTGCCGCTTTGTTTCTAGTTAGATTGGTTGTGGACAGAAGAAGGATAAACATTTGACCAAGCCTGAAGTTGGTCATTTTAGGGCTCAAGGAGTTCCATTAAAGAGGAAGCTTAGGGAGTTTCCAGTGACGGAGGATGCTCTACTTCCTGTTGGTACATCACTTAATGTTCGCCATTTTGTTCCAGGCCAGTATGTTGATATCACAGGAATAACAAAAGGAAAAGGTTTTCAGGTGTTTTTCTCTTTCCTTCGTATTAAACATTGCACTACTGAGAGTATGTATGCAATGTTATGCATGTATTTTGTGTCTGCGTGTCTTATCATGTTATTTTCCTTTTATTTTATTTATGTTTTGTGTATGCCTGCGGAGAATTCTTTAGTGTGAGTAAAAGCAGGCAGCACTGAAAGGGTGCTCCTTTTTTTGTGGATTTAAGTCTCCTCAAATCACGAGTGTCAATGTCAAATATCTTTTTTGTTCCCAGGGTGGGATGAAGCGGCATGGATTTAAGGGAATGCCAGCCTCACACGGTGCTTCCTTGTCACATCGAAGCATTGGTTCTGCAGGTCAAAGGGATACTCCTGGAAGGGTGAGTTGTACACTTTTAGTCGGTAATTTGTTGAGATATGTTTGTGTAGTTCCTTGAATAATTTGCTTACCATAATTTTTCTCTGATAATTTTAAATATTTTTTTTTTCTTATTACCCTTCAGGTTTTTAAAGGTAAAAAGATGCCTGGGCGAATGGGTGGGGATCAAAGAACAGTTCAAAATGTATGGGTCTACAAAATCGACCCAGCAAGGAATTTGATGTGGGTAAAAGGCCAGGTAAATTTTTCTATTTTTATTCTCAAATTCATATTGGAGTTAAAGGGAAGGAACTATCTGATTATCACATCTGACAAATGAATGCTCCAAATTTTAAAAAATCGAAATCCCACTTAATTCAAATTGTACTACTGTTATAGAAATTTTATTTTATGTATGACCCAAAATTACTTGTGACAATTTTTCATTATAATTTGGGATCATCAGTATGTAATCGTGGATGGATCAGTATTCAGCCTGTATTTTAGTGGTTGATTTGCAACTTTTTAGTTCACAGTTGTCCATTAACTAAAAAAATAAAATTGGATTTTAGGCTTTATTATTGATCGCTTATTTCTTTTTATTTGATGTGCACAACAGGTCCCGGGAGCTACAGGAAACTTTGTTTTTATAAAAGATGCCGTCTATGAAAAACCTGACATATCTCTACTTCCTTTCCCAACTTACTTTGTCCCTGAAGATGAAGATACTGATAATTTGGAACCATTGGTTGCTGAGCTTGGAGATGTGGATCCATTTATGGTTGCTGATTAAAGAGCATAGTTCAGGTGCTGGTTTTCTTGCTAGGTTCACTTCTGCAATCATGTTTTCTTTGAATATAGACGGTAAAATGAAATTTTTGAGGAACCATCCAAGGATGATTTTTTATTTGTCTTTTACGCCAGCTTTAGGGGCTTTAGGGTTATTTACGACATTGGCGAATCCAAATTAAGATTGGATAAAGCTTGGTTGCCTTGGAATCCTACAAATAAGTGTGGAGATTTGGATTTAATGAATTATGATGTTTTATTCTATTTGAATTGTTTCCTTTTTTAGACAATTAACGAAATATTTTAATCATATATTTTAGTTATTTGTAATTGTTTTTTTTTTTCTTTTAAAAGCTATAAAAATTTGATAAAATTTTTGAAGATTATAAAGTTAAAATTCAAATATTCTTCATAGTTATAATAATAATAATAATAATAAGTAAATTTAAAATTTGAATTTTAAACATTCAATCAGTTTAAAGTTCAAACAGCAGTTGGTAAAATAAAATATTTTGATTATACATAAATCAAAATAAAAGATAATAAAATACAATACTTAACTATTATAAGTTCAAGCATAATTCAAATATAATCAAATTTGTATAAGTTCAAATAAAATTGAATTCATACAATACAAGTTCAAATAAATTAAATATTTGATATCTGCGAGTAAAGATGCTATGATACCCAAATTCTCTCGGTTAACATGCAAGTATAAAAAATATTCGTACCTATTATTCACAAATATTTGTATACAATATTCATTTTTACCCATTACAGATTTTATGTACTGATATTTGCATGTGTGAATATTTTTTGACATCCTTACTCAAGACATTAACATACTTATAGAACTTGTTTTTATTGGATTTAATAAAGGATACGTCTTTAATGTGTCGATGATTATCAACTTGTAATAGTCCAAAAACGTTTTTTTTTTCATGGTTGACGAAAGTATTCCAAAATTTATAATAAAAAATTAATCAAAGCACATGTTTTATACAATGCATACGTTATATAGAATAAAAAAAATTCAATTTAGTTTTTATTTGAAAATTTTATATTTGGCTTTCATTAAAATTTTTTTTTACAAATTAGTGTCGCACGTCAAAATGATATTAGTGTTAGAATTGATTCTGTACAAATAACATCGTTTTTCTAACTTTGAGTTCCTATATAAAAAAATTCTACTTTGTTTGGTCTGTACATTGAGAAAATATTTATTTAAAAGAAAAATGTGGTCATGAGTTGAAAGTGATTCTTGATATGCTCTAAATCACTATCAAATACAATTGTACAGGTATCCTCTCCCTTGGCTTAAGAGTGAAGATCAATAGTCTTGAAATGGAGTGAGTAATAATATTCAAAGATGAATGTTCTTTCTGTACACTTTTTCTCTCTTCACAAGTTTTACTTGCATAAGGGCAAGCAAAGCTTCCCACCAAAAATTATGTCTTGTAGACAATTATACTACCTAGTGAAGGTAACTCTTGCTAAACTTCTACAAATACCGAATGAGTTCCACTGCAAACTTTCCTTTCTTTGTCGAGTTTATTTCTCCTATCTGGAACAAAAGAAGCAAAGCATAACTAAAAAGGCTTAATCACATATAATATATCCAAACTCATTCACATGATCCAGGCCTTATGTTAAGTTTTGGCATGTTACCTTTAATCTTCCCTTTCCACTAACTGATACAATATCCCCACTCTTGAGTGTGGTTCCTTTGGTAGTAACAGGGATCCAGTTGATACGCACATCACCATTGCTACGAGAATATGTACAACACCGTTATCATGCATCTATAAGCAATTTTTTTTCCCATACCAAAGTGTCTATATATAATGAGATTTTGCAATTGAAAGGTGTAATACTGAAATATAATTTAAACAATATCGGGTATGGTACCACAAATTCAGTCCATCTATTGAAAATATGCAGCAAAAAAATCATCATCGTAGCATAAGAAAATAAAACATGCATGACAGCGCCAAGAATGAAGGAACCAGTAATAAATTATCAGTCAAAAAAGAAAATACAGAATGAAAAAAATTGAAATATCAGTTGCAGTTTTAAGTTGTAACACTTCTATATGAAGATCTCAAGGAATTGTATCTGACATCTGGTGTCTTACATATCACTGACGCACAATTTTTTATGGTTCCCATTTGTCTAAAAAGTTGATTTGCCAACAGATATTTTTTTTATATATATTTTAGAGTAAAATAGATAATGCAAAATAAAAATACTAAGTAGTATCTTCTGACTTGAAGTGCTATTAATAAAGCACAAATTATAGTTGCATGCTAACAAGTTGTTGATTTGAGTAGTATTAAATTTAGTTCCCTTAAGTAAGATTTCGAATTTGAGTTTTATGTATGGATAAAATGTGATTGGGAAAATAGAGACCCCACTAAAGTTAATCGGTCATGTTATTCAAAATTCAATGGAGATTAGTCATCATCGGTGAAACTAACAAATATTCCAAACCAATAACATAGTTACAAAAAAAATAATTTATACTTGCATCCCTTGAGATTTCATCCCTATCCCTCCATTTTTTGCCCCAACATTAACCCCCCTTAGTTATTTACAAAACATTACACAAACACCGCTATATATTACACCGATACCTTTTATCCAAGAAACACACTACACTATTTACGCCTCTACAAGGGAAGTTGTTGTAAACGTTATAAGGATAGGAAGATCATGTGTTATCTCAAATGAAAGACATGATAAACGTAAGTTGGAGATTGCCAACCTGATCATTTCAACTAGCTTTGAACGCGAAACCTTAAATCCAGCACTTGCCAGTGCATCCACTCTTAGCGATGCCTCTATAGTTTTGAATGATTTTGTTCTGCACAATAAACAAAATTGGTAAGGTCTGACATACAAAATTAAATATTATGTGAAGTTGAGCCCAGGTCAATACTGCACCTTGGTGGTTCATAATCTAGAGAAATTAATGGTATCTTGGTGCAAGACACAGGAACATTACGAACCTGAATAACAAAATGTAATCAGAATACAAATAGTATACAATACAGAAACTGCACAAAACAGAGTACTAAAATTATATATTTATATGAATATAAATATTTCTATAATATTTTATTTTGAATAATCTGCTATACTTGTGTTGTATCCTACATTTTTAAAAATTCTTGTGTGCCTGTAATTTGGAAACAACATTCATCAATGCAATCAAATATTTACTACCACAAGTACATAGCTCTTACCTTTTGTTCTGATAATTAGATAATTAGATCTTTATTAAGAAAGGTGAACTGTAAAAAGCATTAAGGTCTCGTTTGGGTAAAATTTTTAATAAACAATTGTAGAAAAAGAAAATAAGGTAAAATGAAACAAGCTTCTCCTTTAAATTAAAATTAGCTTATGTGTAACTTAATTTGTAAAAACTCTCTCATTTACCTTGCCCAAAAGTTTATTTTAACTAATTCATAAGTTAATTTTAACTTTTGAGAGAAACCTAATTTATTTTACCATTTTATTTTCTTCTCACGTAAGTGTGATTTTTGAGAAGTTTTTTTATGCATGGCCTAAGTGAAATAACATTACCTTAACCAGTGTTGACATGAGAAATTCAACGAGTTCTGGTACAACAATTAGCTGAGCACCCTGCTCTCCCTAGATAACAAAGGCAACAAAGTCTAAGTTTCCTAAAATATGTGTGGGCTGGCTGGTGTACATGCACACTAGAAAAATAAACATAACAAAAAAAACTAATTATTTGACATAAATACAAAACAAATGGTAAAATAAAACTCAATGGATGTAAATAAGAAAATGCAATCCAAGTCATGTTTGTAAACTTAAATTGCAGCTAACTAATCGATCATTCTTGACTTAAGATTTTCTTATTCTTTTTGACACAATGATTTGACTTCATTTAGATCCATTGTATGAATAATCTTATATTATACGCACTGTATTGATTTAAGTATAAGATAATATAAATATTGAGTCATCAAACAACAAACATAAGTCATTTACTTTACTATGTACAGGCCAAGAGATGAAATGAACATTAGAACAGAATCACCAAATAAAAAACTCATAAGCTGGAATTTTCTAGTATAATATGTAACAAATTGTAGATTATCATTCACTACTAAAGGTGTGCCCATTAGAAGCTGATATTGTTTATACAACATTCTTAGCTGTTTGTTGTGATTTTTCCTCAATCAGATATAATAAATGAATATGTTCTTTAATTAGACCCTCCAGTGCACAGAGCACAGTTTCAAAATAACCATTGTGGAATAAATAAAAAAACAAATACCTGCAATATAATATCTCCAAGTTTGTCCCTGACAATTCCTGTACCAAGAATTGAGCCAAGGAAGTCACCATGCGAGCAAGGTTCAAACTGGAAGTTCCCTGTGATGCTGAAAAAAGTAATTTTATGTAAATACTAGCAAACACTTCAAGGAACATCGACAATGAATCTGGTGAGCTTGAAAACTTTTGGTAACAAACCTTCAAGATTTACCTTAATGCTGAAATAATATCTGGATCACTGGTCAGTTCTTCTGGATGTCCAACAGAAATCCGACAACGTTCAGCCTAGAGAATACAAGCTTTATGTCTACATACAAATTCAAATAACTTATGTATCAAGGGGCTGGAAAGCACTTATCTGGGTATTTTACCTGAGGATAACCTCCTTGAGCAATTGCTTTCACGTCTGCTAATTTTTCCAAAACTTGCATAGATTCCTTTAGCACTGGAGGGGTTAGAAAATCTGTATGGAGAATCTCTCGCTTTAATGATGCTCGTCTAGCCTACAACAACCAATTCAGGGATTAAATAATGATTTATAGGGTAAAATTTTAATATACCTAATGGTCCAAACTCCAAAGGGCATAAATATTTTTGAACAAGCAATAAGCATCAAACTTTCATGCAGAGACAAAAAGGAGTTCCAAGGTTTTTCATGACATTTGTAAGGTAATGATGTTTATGGACTAGAGACCAGGGAAAAACAAGAAAGTACCATCTCAAGAATATGTTTCACTTCTTTTGTTATACTTCGATCTCCTACTCCCTTGAGTAACAAGTCAACGTCTCCTTTTAAAGCTTGTACAGTCTGGCTTACACCTGAAGCTGCACTTCATAAAACATTAAAAATGTGAAACTGGATCATGGTTGAGGTGCCCAAATAATACATTCTTTACTGAACTAGCAACTCAAACGTAGGGAATGAAGGCATGAGTACTGTTTCGTTATCTCCCAGTAAACCTCTCTCTATCAGATGATTGAATGATTATACCCCAAAATTTCTTAGTAATTTAGGGAAGGGGCTTATACAGGATTTAAACAGTTATAGCCGTTACTAAAATATCTTTGACATGTATATTACCACTAACACTAAAAGTACTCTAGATGACACAGGAACAGTCACTTACAAAATTTTCCAGTTTCTTGGGAAAAACATAAGGTCCTCAGTTTGTTGGTTTCAAGCAAGATATGGAGATAGCCACAGTGTTAAGCCTTTTGGCCGAGGCAAAAACAGGTGGGAGATGTGTTTCAATGGACTTACCAAGGAAACTACTCTTGCATGCCCAATACCCAAAACCTTCAGAGTCTATATGAATTACCATTTCAAAGTCTAAAAATGTCTATTTGCACTTTCCGAGGCACCAAACAGAGAAGGAACAAGAGTGTTGGAATTGAAGTTAACATGGATTCTGTTCAATTCAACTTTTTCCCAAACACACTCTAAGGCATTAGATTCACAAGTCCTTCCACTTTATACAGTCTTTACCTTGTCTGTAATATCCACTCTGGAACTCCTTCACTCACCCACACTGCTCTAACATTTTAATTCTCAATAATTTCTCCCTCAAGTGCAAGTACCTGGCACTCTTCCTAGTGAAAAAGCATTTCCCACGTATTCAATGGTCAACAATTTTTCTTACTACTTTTTTGAGATCAACATGTTTACACACTTCACCAAATCAACCTACTACATATTAACCACTGTGCTATCACTCATCACCAAGGCCAACACTTATGATAAAAAAGAATGTCTATCATGTTCAACATGATCGGTGAAACAAGAGGAACACCGCTTGCCAAGTTACAACCAGCAAGTTTTCAACTTTATCACAATTCATGAAACCCTTTTGTGCATTCAGCCACATTCATTACCACGTTTAGTCATAAACACACTCCAATTTGTGCACCTTGAAATCAAAACAACATTTTCTCGCCTTCGTTTTCAACACCCACAATTTGTTTTGTCGGAAAGATTGCATTTTTAAAAAGAGTGAACAAAAGGGGCATGGCAAAGGCAAGCATCATCCACTTAGATATAAAGGTAGCACCCAAAAATAAAGGAAAAATAAAATTGGAGAAGGCAAGTGGGGACCTGAAGAAGTAGAAACAGAGAGAAGATTGGAGCAAAGGTTCCTTTGAAAAGAGAGGGCGGCGTTACTGCGGAGAGTATGAGAATGAGAGATTGCAAATAGCTGAGCTGCTCTTCTTAGACAGCACGCAGTTCCAAAGATAGTGGCAGCAGCCATGGCTGGAAAATGGGATCAGCTTCGAACTCAACACCACATGAGTTTATGTTATGCTTGGGATTTAAAAGGTTTATTTTAGTTATTTATTGTCTCTTAAATTTTAGTTAATTTAGTTTTATTAAAATAATTATTATTTTAAATTATTTTTTTAACTTATTTAAGACTTTTAAATTGAATCATTGGATTCAATTATATAAAAAAAATACTATTTTAAAAGGATCAAATCAATTTAAATATAAAAGAAAAAAATAAACATTTTAATAAATAAATAATAAATATAAATATAAAAAATAAAATAAATAACTAAAATTATAATTTAATTAGTGTTAATTTTTTTTAATTGTTTTTAAGATTGAATTAGTTATATTATTAAAAAAATTAATTATAATACCAACTAGACACTTCCTTTAACATCATTTTTATTAATATTTCATTTATTAAAGATTGAAAATCACAAATTTCACTCATTTTAATAAGTGGATTATAATGAATTAGAATGAATCATTCCATTTGAATTTTCTCATGTAAAAATCTCTATCATCAAAATCTCATATTTTCTATTTTTTTTATTATTTAAACTCTCTCATTTTTAAAGTAAAGACTAAGACTTTAATTATATGTGAGAAACAATTATCGTGTGAAATTTTTACTCATCACAAACATGAGAAATCACGTTCACTTAAAACAACATGAAGTAACTTCAACTTTTTTTTTTTTTTTTTACTTTTGGATGTGGAGAAAGGGCATATGTACATTTCAAATCAAAATTCTAAACAAGCACTCCCTTTTATAATAATCTCTACCATTAAAATCCCATACCTTCTATTCTTATTATTTAATTTTTCACTTTTATTCTTAATTAAGAGTTGAGATTTTGCTAAACAAAAATATCACATGAGATAATCTAAATCCTTTATAAATTTATGATTAAGTAGTATTTTAACCCATCTAAGTGTTAGGTAGCAGGCTAGCGGACCAATTCATTAAAAAAAATTAGAAGAAATTGCATGTTTATTTTGATTACTTCTTTAAATATATTTATTTTTCAATATCTATAAGACTTGCATAAATTATTAAATTTAGTATATTTAAAAAATAAAATAAATATCAAATTACAACATATTTAGTTTAATTTTTTGCAAAACAAATCCCAAAATTTCTACATAATAAAATAGATATAACAAAATAAATCATATACACAACATATTTACTACATAACAAATAATAGACTAATCGCATAATAAATCTAAAATAACTTATTTAAACTTAATATTAAAAAAATGAGTGTGTTAACCTATCTTGACTTTTCATTTAGCTCAATAGGCTAACAGATTAGGTGGAACGAGTCAAGCAAGTTAGGATACCTAGCTTGGCTTACCAATTTTTGATGCGTCAATAAGTCAAAGTTTGTTTCACCATTCCTATTTATAGTTTCTCAAGTATGAGTATGACAATTATACATATATTAAAGCACATATATTTAATGTTACAAAAAGATTAAAAAAATATTAACATTAATAATATTGTATTTATAGATAAATTAATAATTTAATGAATATAAATTAGTATATATTAATATATTTTTAAATAAATATAAATATATAATATAAAATATAAGTATTATGAATCTAATTTGTATATTTAGTTACTAAAATTTATATTTACATATTATATTTTCTAAATAGCTATATAATTTATTTTTAACTAACTTTCTCTTAACATAATTATATCATATATTTATTTAAAATTATATATAAAAAAATTATATTTATTAAATTATTAGTTCATTTATAAATATCCAATAATATTATTAATATTAATCTATCAACAATATTATCAAACTTGAGTTAAAAAGACATTTTCATACACGACAATGCACTCGGTATAACTTAACGGTCAGTTTGTCAGAGATTAAAAAATTAATTAGTTTAATGTATATAAAAAAATCATATTCTAGAAATTTTAAAAAAGTAAACTTGATTTGATTTTTTTTTTAACAATTGAAGTTCGAGATAATATCATAATACCATCACATACCATCACCCAAGCATTTGAAGTTTTGAATAACTAACCTTGTATGCTTTTATGAGTTTATTTGAATAAACGTTAGAAATACTTTTAAAAACTTTATTGAAAATATAGAGTATTTTTCAATAAAATAACTCTTAAAAATACTTATAAACTTCTATCCAAACAGATATATCCAACTGGTACTAATTGTAGCCAAATAAAGACAGATTCACATTCTAACATCACACCTCAATGTCATGTTCACCCTCTACAGATATTCTTGTTAACCAACATGTCAAATCTCATCATAAAGTTATCAGTATATCACGGTACTATTCCTGTGACCAATTAACTACATAAACAAATTCAAGGTTCCAGTAACATCTCATGAAATCTGAACAAAATTTCAAAGTACAAAGTCAAGCTAAAAGTATGCATGCAGTTTCTCCCCAAAACAGGAGCTAAGCACAACTAAGTGTGTTTAGTTTGATCTTTCTCCCAAGAGGATGTGTATAGAAAAGGAACAACTTAGTCTACCCTCACAAACCTAGCCACACACTAGGAAAATTGGTGTCACAGCTAAACTTTTCAGAAAAGATAGATGTATCCAAGCACCACCAACAGGAGGACCAACAAAGCAGCAGAAGCTGCAAGCCACATCCAGTAATTGTTAGACTTCTTCCTCTTAAGAATAACTTTTGGAACTGAATCCGGGCCGCCTCTTGCTCGGCCCCTGGACCTGATGCCACTCTCCTTCTGGACCTTTACCTTCACCGGAGCTGGGGCTTGAACGTCTTCGTCAACCTTTTCAGGTTCTGTAGCCTCTACAACTTCCTCATTCGGTTCATCCTCAGGGTTGGCAACAGCTGCAGCGCCCGAAGACTTCTTCTTTGCTTTCTTCTCTCGGTCCTGTATAAAAAACAGTTTCAGGTTTTGAAGAATGTATAACACTGGAATGAGATAAGAAATGAATCAACAATCAAATCACCTTAAGCTTCTTCTCAGCTTCCTTTTGTGCTCTGAGGGCAGCTTTGGCTGCAGCTTTCTCTGCTAACTTCTTCTTTCTTTCCAAGGCCAGCTTTGCTTTCGCAATTTCCTCCTCTCTTTTCATCTCTTTCAGCTTTGCTGGATCAATTTCAGGATCTTTAGCAGGGGCCTCCTTTTGGGGATTTTCGAATTCATATTCATCAGTTTCAGCTAAGTCCTTGGCCTTGTTATCCGGTTTGGATTTCAAAGCTCTCGCCTTGCTTTCGGATTCTTTCTGAGCAGGCAAAGCTTCTTGTGGAGAAGGCTTAGGATCCTCCTTTGGCTGTTTTGGGACAGTTTTTGGTAATATCTCAGGCTCAGCAGGCTTTGGTTCTTCTAGCAATGGTTTTTCATCCGGGTTCCTCATCCGTCCATCCCGGCTCAACTGCCGCATGTCCAATGATTGCAAAATTCTTTTTTCATAATCATTCCTAAAAGTTTTCTCACCATTCCAGTGTGCCATAAATTTCTCAACCTAGAACCCGGGGAAGGAAATAAAAGATTCAATCACAACCATCAGTCAAAAAAAGCAGGAAAAAGTGACTAGTGTTTAAAGTGCAATGCCATCATTAAATATTGGATGATATTATGCTGACAAACCTCTGTCTGTGCAAGTTCATCAAGAGTGTTAATATCTTTCTTTGCAGCCAGCTCCCGTGCTTTGTTCAGAATTGTACGGCTTTGGTAGAAATAGGTGTTCTGATCAACAAAACATTAATTCAAATTCAGATATTATTATTCTGCAGTGATATACCATAGCGTTGGAATAAACAAATTAGTTCAGAAATAATTTAAAAAATTACTTGAAATTTACATCAATGACCGCATCAAGCATGTTTTATTGAAATTTTAATCAAGGACAAAACTCTAATTTATGAGATTCAAGACAGTAGATGTGCTAAATAATTGTCAGTTTGATAGAACTCCAAGAGTCTGGTTACAGTTTCAACTAAATTTCTAAAACAGCGAGTTATAGATACAGGTTTTACAAATACCAAGATTAAATGAGGTAACAATTGGATAAAAATAGGAGGGTTAGAAAACAGACTGGAAATCATTGAATGCTTGCTGGTAACATAATTGAAAGAAATGAAAATTAAGTAACCCCACAGCAACATTTTGCATTCCATCTTCAAAAATTTATCCATACCAAATGAGATGGAGATGCATAAATAAGGTTCAACAAAAACAATTTTGAACTTTTCCATTCTCTACCTAACACCAGGTGAAAATAAGAAAACATTCCATCCCACTCCATTTTGCATTCCCAATATTTCTAATTTTCATTTTCCACCAAGCACACTAAAAAAAATCACACCAGAATGCTCATATTTAAAGTGAAACATACCCCCTCCTCACGCTGTTTTCTGAGCTGCTGCATGCTCTCAAATGATTTGTCCCTCTTCTGAGAAACAGAAGCCAGTTCATCCTGTAGAGTCTGGATATCCTTGTCAATGGTTTTGAGTACATCATCAATCTGCTTGATTTTGGACCGAATTGCTTGTCTCTCTTTCTTCACTCCATCCAAATCACCACCAATAAGCTGCGATGGAAATTAAATTCTTAGGAACCTTTTGAATAATAAGACATTTTTTATTCAGAACACTTTTAACAGGGGAAGAAAACTTGTTAGCACAAATACCAAACAAAACCATCTTACCTTAACCTGATCTTGAATGGCTTCCTTCTGCCCCATAGATTCCTGTAACTTAGCCCTCATTGCAGCATTAGCAATAACCTTCTCCCTTGTCCCTTCAAGCTGTTTGATTTCACGGAGGATTTGTTTTTCCTCAGTCAATGGAATGCTCTCATGCTGTATGCGGTATTGCAAACTATATATCTGCATCCATCAAAGCACACAGGAGTAGTGAGTGAGTGATTGAAAAATAAATGTTCGAATAACTAAATAAATTGATGCTCTGGAAAAAGAACTCAAACACAACATACAACTCTATTGAGTTCCTCCTCAGATGAGCACAAACCACCCTGACCCGCATTATTTGGGGTGCGCAGCTTGCCCAGTGCTTGCTGCAGAGGTTCAATCTCTTTTATTTTCTCATCCACAATACTTTGAAATTGCCTACTGTCACCTCTAAGAGCCTTAATCTGAGAAATCAACTCAGCTCGTTCTGACTGCACAAAGAGTAAAGACCATATATTTATTGATGTTAGATGTTTGTTGAGAAGGAATCACCATGTCATGTCACTCTGCAAATATAAAACTTTCATGGAAAGAACAGTCCATTGTTAAGTGATATGAAAGATATGCAAGCTCCATTAATTTTTTTTCTCACATAGCATGACAGTTTGGAGGGGGTGAAAACAACGAGGATGATATAGAAGGTATGTTAAATGTTAATAGTTAATACACATCCCAGTGTTGTCAAAGGTGAAAATGCACCCTAAAGGGGCTAGGTCCCGTCTCCTTGAGTCAAGAGGAACCAAAACCCATAAACCTCATGAAAGAAAAACTGACATAAGAAATTTTTTTTTGATTCTTTTGCATTACTTTTCCATATAACTTAACAACTCAAGCATAACATTTGCAGAAAAAATAAAATTAATATTTAATTTTGAAAAACACTAAGTTACTTGCTGCTTAGAGTCCCAAAGATTGACAATTAGTATTTTTTTAATATTCTGACTATTTTATCTCCCTTAGCATAATAGCACCACAGTAGTACTCAGTTTGAATCAACCAAAAAATAATATCATCATGGAAGAAAGTTAGAGGATGTTTGTTTTTACATTCTAACAAACACACATGGAAGTGCACACAATTATCAAGGAAAAACTACCCTTCACGGTACTAATTTGTAGGAAGGGAAAAATCTTCCTTCTGTCTATCAAGGGTTTGTGGCTGGAGAATTTAGAAACAAAAACAAAAAGGCAGTTAGACGGTTTGACTTTATGGATTTTTACAGTTACAAATAAAATATGCGTTAGGCTGGCCTCTTATGGGGCCTTGATTTGGCGCCATTGAGTTGGCCACACTCTTACAAACTATTTCCCTCCTTGGATTATCCTCTCATTTTTAACAAGCAACCATGATGAATTATTCTCAACTCACCCGCTTTGCCTTCAGTGCTTCAGTGATCTGAAACCGGGATTGATTTTTCTTGCTGATCTCTTTGTCAAGCTGATCAGCTTTAGATTTGATTGTTGGATCATCATAGGGCCGCCACCTGACAAAATAAAAAGAATGAATCTGCTTAGGTGCAGGCCACTCTTCAACAGCATCTTTCGGGACATTGGCATCTGAAACATTATTCTCTTCCCCTTTGACAGATTCATCTCCATGTGTCCCAAATTTTATGGCCTCAGCAGCCCCCAGATCTTTTTCCACCTTGCCATTCTCCTTCTCGTGCAAAACAGGTTTTGGTCCTTCAACACCATTCTCCACAGGTCCTTGAACCATCTCAAATCCCACAACCTCAACCGCCATGACTCCAACTACAAGACAGCCTCACAAAAAATCCAAGAAACCTAATTCCAAAGCAATATAGGAAAGATTCATGAGCATATATAATTAAATTTGATCCACAGGCTCAATAAGCAGGTGCACAAATGCTAAATCACGAATCAAGAAGAAAATTTTAAGGAACATTAACCGTTTAGCATTATTATCAAATATCACAAATTAACAACAAAAAAAAACATGGATAAATACACAGACACATATGCAGGACGAAAGTAAAAGAAAATTGAACACCACATATCTTCAACAAATTCGTAAATTCCATCAATTTGATCACAAAAACCCGATCACGTGAAATGAAAAAAGGGATCTAAAGATTACCACCTTCATCTCAAACATGCAAATCAAATAAAACCACAATCAACAAACACAGGAAACACGATTCAAAAAAAAAAAAAATAAGTTTTCCTAGACAAGAATCACCTTCTCCCATGACCAATCCCAACATGCAAATCCAAATCCCAGAATGGAGACAAAGACATTAAAACAAATTCCAAAAGGGCATGATCTGAATTCTGAATACATAGAACGACCACCCCACAATCGATGCATCAAGAAAGACAAAACCTTTGAACCTAAAAAACAACCCAACAAAGAAAAAACAACACGAGCAATTAAAGAGAGAATACCCTTGTGGAGAACGAAGATAATTACACCAAAGAAGACCTCTTTTTTTCTGAAAAGGGTCTCCAAATTATGAGTCAGATCTCGCTCTGTTGGTCTTCTGAGCCGAAACCCCTCCTCCCTGTGATGGCTTAAACCAAAACCAGTTGCAGAAAGAGAGGAGAAGCTACAGCAATTAACAGTTCCTTATTTATATAAAACAAAAAGGGTAGATTTTTTTCAGGTTCAGC